GGTTTAGATCTTTCGGGTTTCGAGGTTTAGGGGTTTAGGGATTTAGGGGTTTAGGGGTTTGGGGGTTTAGATCTTTAGGGTTTGGGGTTTAGAGGTTTAGGGTTTATAGGTTTAGGGGTTTGGGGGTTTAGGGGTTTAGATCTCTAGGGTTTAGGGTTTGGGGGTTTAGATCTTTAGGGTTTAGGGTTTAGAGGTTTAGGTTTAGGGGTTTAGGGGTGTTGGGGTTTATATCTTTAGGGTTCAGAGGTTCAGAGGTTTGGGGGTTTAGATCTGTAGGGCTCAGGGTTTAGAGGCTTAAGTTTTTAGGGGTTTGGGGGTTTAGATCTTTTGCGTATTGTGTTGAGGGGTTTAGGGTTCAGGGTTTAGGGGTTTGGGGGTTTAGATCTTTAGGGTTTAGGGTGCAGATGTTGAGAGGTTTAGGGTTTAGAGGTTTGGGGGTTTGGGGGTTTGGGGGTTCAGGGTTTAGGGGTTGAGGGGTTTGGGGGTTTCGGGGTTTCGGGGGGTTTAGTTCAGGGGTTCAGGGTTTAGGGTTGTAGGGGTTAGGGGTTTAGGGTTTGGGTGTAGCAATATAGCGTCCGAAGCACCGGCACTAGCATCGCCCCTTACAGGACCTAGAAACAAGTGGACAAACAAGCATATGGACAAACAGCTAGTTTAATGAATAACTATATACACCTTTATGTATGCCTATGTCTCTGTAGAGAGAGAGAACTATAATATACCCCAGTGCTCTGTTCCTTCGACGAAGACCATCACATAAAACCCCTACAGAGCCCAACAGCAAAAGCAAGACATCTGTAGAATCAATCACCATAACTACATCCTTCCCTAGCTATTTCGGCCCCTAAACCTCTCTATCATATATATATATATACACATAACATATATGTATATATATATATATATATGTAGATAATAATATTTAAGTATACAGAAGAGGAGGCTGTGGGGCCTCCGTTTTGTGCAGCCCACTGTGCTCTCTTTCTATGTATGTATGTATGTATGTATGTATGTATGTATGTATGTATGTATGTATGTGTGTATATACATATATACATATATATGTACATATATACTTATATACATATGCTTGAAGGTTAACGGCTGTAGCGAAAAAATATGCCCTAAGTTTCGGGCTGGGGTTGGGGTTAGGCTCTAAGGCTGAAGGGAGAATATTAGTGTTTTCTTCATTGGTTTGGGGTTTAGGGTTTAGGGTTTAGGGTTTGGGGTTTAGGGTTTAGGGTTTGGGGTTTAGGGTTTAGGGTTTAGGGTTTAGGGTTTGGGGCTTAGGGTTTAGGGTTTAGATTCTTTGGGCGGGTGGGTGTTGTTCTAAATCCAAAACCGCTAGCTTGAGTAGTGACTGCTCGATCCTGAGCTGCAGAACCCTAACCCCTAAACCCTAAACCCTAAAACCTGAACCCTTAACCCTACTCCCCCAAAGCGCTAAACCCCTAAACCCTAAACCCTATGTCGGCCCCTAAACCCTGAACCCTAATCCCAAAACCCCTAAACCCTAAACCCTAAACCCTAAACCCTAAACCCTTAAACCCTTAAACCCTTAAACCCTAAAGCCTATGTCGGCCCCTAAACTTCCTTTCTTGGTGGAGGATCCCAAAACCCCTAAACCCTAAACCCTAAACCCTTAAACCCTAAAGCCTATGTCCGCCCCTAAAATCCCTTCCTCGATATAGGATGGCGGTCGTCGTCCGCCATCGGGGGCCAGGGCAGGGCTACCAAGAAACGACAGGAGGCCGCGAGTTGATGGGGGTTAAGGGTGTGGGTTTAGGGTTTACGGTTGAGGGTTTAGGAGTTGAGGGTTTAGGGTTGAGGGGTTTAGGGTTTAGGGGTTGAGGGTTTAAGGTGGGTTAAGGATTCAGGAGTTTAGGGTTGAGGGTTTGAGGGTTTAAGGTTGAGGGGCTTAGGGTTCAGGGGTTTAGGGTTGAGGGGTTCAGGGTTGAGGGGTTTAGGGTTGAGGGGTTTAGGGTTTAGGGGTTTAGGGTTGAGGGTTTAGGGTTTTTGGGGGTTTCGGGTTTCACCCCATATTTGGTGTATATGCCCTTATAGTTGGTAATCCAACTCCTTGAGCATTCCTCTCTCCCCTCTTCTTTACGCGCCAGTAAGCCATCCTAGGGTTTGGGTCATGGGAATTACGGTTCATGTAGGGGATCTGTTCAACATGGGTTCTATGCTCTTCGTGGTTAATATAAGAAGCCTAAATTTTAAATAGTTACCTACATTATTCCTTAGGGTTCCTTACTATACATACCTATGTTATAAAAGGGCCCAAAACCCTAAACCCTAAAGCCTATTGTAATCATTAACGCCCCTACATTTGGGGCTTGGGGTTTCGAGCCGGGATCGAAGTTCAGAGATTGCCAACCCTAGAATCCCAAAGGCCCACTTAAGGGTAACCAGGGTTCAGGGTTTAGGGTTTAGGGGTTTAGGGTTTAGGGTTTAGGGTTACATCTGAGGTAACCGTACCTGGAAAAAACAAAACCCCACTCAAGGTACTTGTAACCTTATTTCCGACGTCTGTGGATCAAGCAACCCTTAACCATGAACCCTGAAGCCTAAAACCCTCTATATAACCCTAAACCCTAAACCCCTCAACCCTAAACCCTGAAGCTTAAAACCCCCTACATAGCCCTAAACACTAAACCCCTCAACCCTAGACCCTAAACCTTAAAACCATCCATATAACCCTAAACCCTAAACCCCTAAAACCTAAACCTTAAAACCCTCTATATAACCCTAAGCCCTAAACCCCGCAACCCTAAACCCTGAACCTCAAAACCCTCTATATAACCCTAAACCCTAAACCCCGCAACCCTAAACCCTGAACCTGAAAACCCTCTATGTAACCCTAAACCCTAAACCCCTCAACCCTAAACCCCAAACCTTAAAGCCCCTTACCCCTAAACCCCTCAACCCTAAACCCTAAATTAGAGTTCTCATTATAATTCCTTTGCAGCTCGGAGTCTTCTGAAGGCTTGGCAGTAGAGGAGCAACAAGATGGTCGGCATGTTTCGGGTTTAGGGTTTAGGGTTCAGTGTTTAGGATTTAGGGTTTAAGGTTCAGGGTTAGGGTGTAGGGTTTAGGGTTCCGTGTTTAGGGTTTAGGGTTCAGGGTTTAGGGCCTAATGTGTAGGGTTTAGGGCTTTAGAGCCTTTGGGGTTTAGGGTTTATAGGTTTAGTGGCTTTGGGTTGTGGTTTTTAGGGGGGTTTAGAGTTCAGGGTTTAGGGTTTGGCCATCATCTCTGTCATCGTCAGCTGCGGTATGTTTTGTCTGTCTACTGCTGCTTCTTCAGCTGCCATTGCCGCGCCTGCTCGCAAATCTAGCGCCGCTACCAGCCGCTACAACCACCAGCACCACGACCACGGCGACCACCGGCACCCACCCCCGCCCCCCACCCCCACCCTGCAGCCAGCGCCGCCACTGTCAGCACCAGCAGCAGCAGGTACGACTGCTACTGCTTCCGCAAGTTGATGCAATTTGTACTTTCATTTTCGACATCTCCAGGGTCGACATGGTTGAAAAGGTTCTGCCAGCATGTATGAAATAGCCCTGGCATATTTAATACTGGCAGCAGTGGCAATAATAACGCAGACATCTACATCCATGGTCATTTGCAGCAATTGCATTCTGAGGTAGGGGAGATATCAAACCGCTGAACAAAGACGCAGCAACATGACAACTATCAGGGTCAGTTTGGCGGTCATACTTGTCTTGTTGATGCCGGATGTCGGTGGTGAAGATATAACATGATTTGCAACGGGATGTGGCTTTTGTCCATGTCGGTTGCTGATCTTTCCCCCTGAAGGTGGAAAGGATCTGGACCGCGTTCTTGCTCTGGTGACGCTTCGCCGAACAGCCTAGCAGCGACTGTGTCTTTTCAGGCTGAGTTGGACACCAGTGCATCAAGCCTAAACCCTCGAACGATTATGTTCCCTGAGCGCTCGACTCAAAGGAGCACAAGCCCTAATCTGGTCTGAAACACTTAATTAACCCTAAGCCCTAAGCCCTGAGCCCTAAACCTGAAATTTCCTTAGCAATCTCGCTCCGAACCTCCGCATGCTTGGAGGTTCATGTCGTTATAAGTAGGGTTATAAGTAGGGTAACTATACGTATAGCCCATATTAGGGGACTTATAACCCCACTTATAACTATCCATGAACCTCCGCATGGATCCAATGAAGGACCTTCAGGCGACACTCTTCAATGTAGCGTCTTCTGGGGGAGCCAACCATACTTGGAGGTTCATGGGTGGTTATAAGTAGGTGATAAGTAGGGTAACTATAATTATAACCATATTAGGGGACTTATAACCCCACTTATAACTACCCATGAACCTCGAAGTACTTCATAGGGTTTATGGCTTCTACGTAACCCTACCGTATAATTGAAAGGTTAAATTGTTTGGGCAAGGCAAATCGGCAATCAGGTTTGGGTCCGAACCAGACCAGTCGGTGCTATACTATTTTTTTGGGGTTCCTTATTGTAGTTAAAGTAAGATATGCCTCAAAACACCTTATTCTAATCATTACATAAGGCCCCTAGATTACACACCTGGTTCTCTAAAGGCGACCAGGACTTTGACAGCTGAAACCCGAAACCCTAAACCCTAAACCGTTAGGGTTTTAAACCCTAAACCCTAAACCCTAAACCCTAAACCAAACCCTAAACCCTAAACCCTAAGGTTTAGGGTTTCGGGTTTTGCTCAGGAAGGGCTCCTGCGATGCTTTGAAGCCTCGCCTCTCGGCTGCTACTCTGGCCGTGGTTTAGGGTTTAGGGTGTAGGGTTTAGGGTTTAGGGTGTAGGGCTTGGGGTTTAGGCTGTAGGGTTTAGGGTTTAGGGTAGGGTTTAGGATGCAAGATTCGGGTTTGGGGTTTAGGCAAGCCGTAATCTCGCTACCCTGGGAAAATCCATTCCGCAACTAGCAAAGAACACTAAGTATACCCTAAACCCCAAATCCTGCACATGTGGTAAGCTGGTAAGCTGGGCTTCATTTCGGCCCAAACTAACTGAAAGGATTGCTTTCCGTGGGAAACAATCTCACAGAGTCTTTAAGAATACTTGGGTTCATATAGGCGTCTAAAGCTTGGCGTTCTTCTGGCTGGCTGACAGGACTTTAACTTTGGGGGTTTCTATATGAACTCTAATAAGTAGGCTAAAAGTTGAACTTTTCGGAGTCAGCCAAGAAACCCTAAACCTTATCCAGTCAAGTTAGCCACCACGAAGAGAATCGTAAAGCTCTACACACGAATCCGTCAGTCTCCAGGCACCAGACCCAACTGAACTTGAAAGCCCTCAAGCCCCATGCCTGAGACTTAGAACCCTCAAACCCTAAACCCTTAAACCTCGACCCTAAACCCTGAACTAAAAAACAGGCCGAAGGCCAAAACCCTTCAAGCCCTACAGCTGCGGAAGGACTGGTCCAAGTCCCACCGAACCTGGACGACATGCAGGATGGGCTTAGGGTAGGGTTTAGGGCTTCGGGTTTCGACCCTAAGACCAAAACCCTGAACCTGGGTTTGGGGTATCATGCGTACATACTTTGTGTTGGACCCTCGAAGGAACCATCATGAAGCAACGGTTTATACTTTTCCTTCCCTGGTTGCTTCAAAGTCTAGTGACCCCCTGAACCCGAACCCCTAAACCCTAAACCTTAAATCCTAAACCCTAAATCCTAAACCCTAAATCGTAAACCCTAAAGCCTAAACCCTAAACCTTAAATCCTAAATCCTAAACCTGAAATTTTAAACCCTAAATCCTAAACCCTAAACCCTAAATCCTACCCTGAATCCTAAACCCTAAGTCCTAAACCGTGGGTTTAGGGCTTATAGGGTTTGGCGAGCTTTGAGGCGAAGCCCTAAACCCTAAACCCTAAACCCTAAACCCTATACCCCTTCTTCGGGTCAGCGCGAGGCCGTTTGGAAGCAGCGGGAGGGCTTCTCTGAAGGATTTTAATATAGGCCGTTTAGGGTTTAGGGGTTTAGGGGTTTAGGGTTTAGGGTTTAGGGGTTTAGGGGTTTAGGGTTTAGGGTTTAGGGTTTAGGGTTCAGGGTTCTAGATTTAGGGGTTTAGGGTTTTAGTTTCAGGGGTTTAGGGCTTAGGGCTTAGGGCTTAAATAATTACCTATACTGTTTTGGGGTTTAGGGTTTAGAAATTTAGGGTTTAGGGTTTAGGGTTAGTTACCTATACTGTTTTGGGGTTCCTCTTATAATTATAGTGTATTATGCCCCAAAAGCCTGTTCTATTTATCAAGGCCCCTATATTACCCATTGTCTGCATCGCAGTTCTCTTCTTAGGTTACAGGACCCTTTGTATTTGTTCGGCTAAGCCAACAAAGGAACTGCAATGGAGACTACTTGGAGGGTCGGGAGACTTAGTAAGTTGGTAATAAGCAGACTTATAAGCACCCCCAAAGGGACCCTAATTGGGGTTATGGTACTTATAAGTCTATAGAATAGCCATTGTCCCCCGACCCTCCAAGTATAGGTAGGGTTTAGGGTGTAGGATTCTTCAGCGGCTTAAGGCTTAAGGTGCGGAGCTCCAGAACTGGCACTGAGCTCTGGTCCAGATCCCTGAACCCTAAACCCCAAACCCTCAGCCCGAAGCTCCAAACCCTAAACCCTAAACCCTTGAGGGTTTAGGGTTTAGGGTTTAGGGTTTAGGGTTTACAGCCCTAAGCCTAAACTCGGGGTCTCGGGCAGGGTGTTGTAGGGTTATTATTGGTGCTGCGCCATATCAGCCGAGTCTCCATTCAGCTGCTTTCCTGGGTTTGCAGTAGCCTTTATAGAACCCTCTAGGGAACCCTTTAAAGGGACCCCAAACCCTGTTCTATTTATGAAGGCCCCTATATTAGAAAGCGGAACTTGCACGTCGCTGTCAGCCCACGGCATTCAGAGGACCAGCTCACGAAATTCGGCTTTCGCGTGCTCTGCTTGGCTGCGAAGGAGCGCGGGACATTTAGGGGTTAAGGGTTTGGGGTTTAGGGCGTAATGCGTACCACGATTAATGGTCCTCGGAGGAATATGTGTCCCGAAAGCCGATGCCAGACGAGGCGTCATCATATGCTGTTGTTAGACTATGGCCAGCTGTCACCTTACAAAATCGTTCTCTAGCGTCTTCGCACTTGTTTCGAGCTTCTGCACTGTTCTTGTAGCGACATGCAGCTATACTCGTCTTAGATCCTTCTAGACCTGCTCGCCTTGATACTACTTGCCGGTCCTGAAGGTGTTCTAGCGATGATGGATGTCGACGATCATGAAGACGACGAAGACATTGGAAGATACTGACGATACTATCGGCAACGACGGCAATGGCAATGAAAAAGATCACGATTGCGGTGCTCGATGCACCGTTGTGGTGGCAGCAGCGGTGATGGGTTGATGATGATGATGATGATGACGACGACGATGATGATGATTATGACGATGATGATGATGAAGATGATAGTGATGGTGATGGCGATGGTGATGGTGATGGTGATGGCGATGATGAAGATGACGGTGATGGTGATGGTGATGGTGATGATGAAGATGATGGTGATGGTGATGGTGATGGTGATGGTGATGGTGATGGTGATGGTGATGGTGATGGTGATGGTGATGGTGATGGTGATGGTGATGGTGATGGTGGTGAGAAGAAGAAGATTATGATGATACTGGTGCTGCTGCTGCTGCTGCTGCTGCTGCTGCTGCTGCTGCTGCTGCTGCTGGCACTGCTGCTGCTGGCGGTGGTGGTGGCGGTGGCGGTGGCGGTGGCGGCGGCTGCAGCGGTGGGGGTGGCGGTGCCGGTGGTGGTGGTGGTGGTGGTGGTGGTGGGCGATGGTGGTGGGCGATGGTGGCGGGCGATGGTGGTGGTAGCGGGTGGCCATGAAGGCGATAGATATCAAGACGGTGAAGATGGTCATTCAAATTCTGACGTCGAGTATATGGCTGGATGTTTCGTTAATTGGAATGGGATGATGGCGAAGATGACGGGGATCACATATAGATGTGCGCATGACCTCGATCATGATTTTGGTGACATCGGCGATGGCGTGGTGATACGGATTGTCATGGTCGGGATGCAGACGACGAGGGTCAACTCTGATGATGATTTTTATCAGCATGCCAACTACAATGATCCTGACAGTGACACGGAAATAATGACAACTGCTTTTGCCAGCATGATGACGATCGCGATGATGACCATGATGATGACCTAGACCATGTCCACGACCATAATCCTGATCATGATCATGATGGTGGGGGTGATGCTGACAATGAAGACGACTATGATGTTCACGATGATGATGGATATCATGGTGGCACATGATCAAGACGTTTTTGCAGAAACTGCAGCCTTTACTGCCGTACTAGCATACAGCAGTCGCAGAGGCCACAGCTGGGGAGTTATTGTTGGCTTCAGCATTCTAGGTGTTTCGGGCTTTAGGGATGGAGGTTTTAGCGGTTTAGAGGTCTGGGGTTAGTAGTATCCTTTCTTTCTGCATAAATCATGATAGAAGTCTAACTGATTACCGACAGCATTTCGTAGGGTTCCTTACTCTAACCATACCAGAAACGGGCCAAAACCGTATTCTAATTCTTAAGGCCCCTAAACCCTAAACCCTAAACCCTGCAGTACCTGGCTGGTGAGGAGCTTCCTAGTGACAAGGGCATGGACGCCGAATTGCTGGCTCCACGGCTGGTGTTCGGCAGAGTTCGGGGAGTGAAGGTTTAGGGCTCAAGGGTTTAAGGGTTTAGGGGCTTTGGGTTTAAGGGTTGGGGTTTAGGGTTTAGGGGCTTTGGGTTTAGGGTTTGGGGTTTAGGGTTTAGGGGCTTTGGGTATAAGGGTTTAGGGTTTAGGGTTTAGGTGTAGGGGCTTTGGATTTAAGGGTTTAAGGGTTTGAGGGTTTAGGGGCTTTGGGTTTAAGGTTTAGGGTTTAGGGTTTAGGGGCTTTGGGTTTAGGGTTAAGGGTTTAAGGGTTTAAGGGTTCAGGGGCTTTGGGTTTAAGCTTTAGGGTTTAGGGTTTAGGGTTTAAAGGGGTTTTGGGTTTAAGGTCTAGGGTTTAGGGTTTAGGGGTTTAGGGGTTTAGGGGCTTTGGGTTTAAGGTAAGCCAACACAGCCGCCAGTGCGCAAGAGGGCTTTAGACCATAATAAGCATGGAAGCCTGAGTGACTCGTAAGTGACTAGCCCAAACCCTAAACCCCAAACTCCAAAGCCTTAAACCCTGAAGCATCAACCCTCAACCCCTAAACCCTAAAGCCCTAAACCCCTAAGCCCGAAAACCCCTAAACCCGAAACCTCCTAAACCCCTACACCCGAAAACCCCTAAACCCCTACGCCCGAAAACCCCTAGACCCTAAGCCCTAAACCACTAACTTTCAGGCTCCTGTTCGGAAGGTCCCCGTAACCGAACCCTAAACCCAGAACCCGGTGTCGGGTTTAGTGCTTCGGTTTAGGGTTTAGGGGTTTAGGGGTTTAGGGGTTTAGGGTTTACAGATAGTAAGAAACTTGGTGATTTTTAGCTCTGACATGAAAACCTACGCCCTGAAACACCCTGAGTTTAGGGAAAGGAAACCGTAAAGAACCCCTATTATAGGGGCCTAAATGATTGCCTAGACTATTTTGGGGGTTCCTTCCTATGTTATAGTATACTGGCCCCAAAACACTATTCTGATTATGAAGGCCCCTACATTAAGCCCTAAAGCCCCCTCCCTAACTTCTAAACCCTCAACCCTA